TCGAGAGGAAAATTTATTCTCGATCAATGAAACACCCCTATAGGCTAAAAATTTCAGAATATACTCAATTTTAGTAGAGCTACAAACTGGCGAAATCAGAATTAAATTTAAAAAAAATAATTGAGCACGCGAGGTTGCCGCTTTCGTGCAATCACTCCTAGTCGAAATTAAAATCAAAATATTCACAAAGATGAAAACTCAATTATCCAGTTTCAGAGCTCCAATTTTAGTTTTCTGAAAAGCGCACGATGTTTATGGATATCAGGTGAAGATTATGAACAGTGACTGCGAATCCAAGAGTCTCTATCCGCCTAAAATATAGCCATAAGTTCGAGTACAGGTCAGAAAACATTTACGGGTCAATTTCTGCTCACAAGTTGCAGTTTTTGGACTCGCAGACACTGCTCATAATCTTCACCTGATGTCGATAAACATCGTGCGCCTTTCAGAAAACTAAAATTTGAGTTCTAAAGCCGGATAATTGAGTTTCCGTGTTTGTGAATATATTGATTTAAAATTCTCCTGGTAGAAATTGAAAGGACGAGGATCGATAAGAGACAAAATCGGCCTCGTCATAAATTAATCTTATATTAATCGATCTGATGTAGTTTTTGTCCGCGATTAACCCTAACCTATTTTTTTCTTAAAAAGCCTTTTCAGTGCCCGTTGGAAAAATTTTTGCAAACAAAACTTTTCTGTCGTTAAATGAACTTTACTCAGAATATTTTCATTATTTCACCTCCACTATAGGAAAAAATCGAGATACCTGTCAAGTATTTGTCAAATACATTTACGAAGGCAAACTTTTAAAATAATGTGGTATAGCTCATTGTAGTCCGTGAAATTCTCTCTCGGACGGTATATGATAGTTGAGGCTTGCTCTAAGCGAAAGAGGTGAAATAATGAAAATACTCTGAGTAAAGTTCATTTAAGGACAGAAGAGTTTTGTTTGTGAAAATTTTTCCGACGGACACTGAAAAGGATTTTTAAGGTCTAAAAATAGGTTAGGGTTAATCGCGGACAAAAACTACATCAGATCGGTTAATATAAGATCAATTTATGATGAGGCCGATTTTGTCGCTTATCGATCCTCGTCCTTTCAATTTCTACCCGGAGAATTTTAAATTCCAATGGATTTTAATTTCTTCTGCAACATATACATAGTTTTCATTTTTTTTTTCACCTGAAGATGACATTCTTGAGAGTTCTCTTCTATGACTTATCGTATGAAGTGTCAGTAATGAAAGCAAAAAGAAACGTGCAAGAATGTAAAATAAATTATTTATTAATTATTTTAAATAATAAAAAATGAAAAATCTGAAAACACCCGTCGATACTAGTCATATGTTTCACATGACCATATTTCACAAGTCTTTCATACAAAGAAAGAAAGTCTCTCACTGCATTAACTACTATAACACGATTGAATAGCATACCAAATTTTGTCTTTATTAAAGAATTTCAATTAGATATATTTCAATTTCAGTTCGGTTCGTTCGACTATAAAGATTGTATTTTGTAGAAAGAATTAAACTTTATAATGACAGTCAAAATGAGCAAAGTTTTATTCTACCTATTTTACTGTGTCGCCATCTTCATAACAATTATTCGTTTTTTAGTTGAATATAAAAAAAGATACTTGTATTTTTTTTGTCTTAAAGGCTTCATCTTAACGCTTTTTTTTTTTTTAATAGAAAAACGATCATTGTACATGTAATAAGTGCAAAATATTTTTTATTTTATTTTTTTATAAAAAAAAATTAAAGACAAATATGAATATGTGTTCGTATTTGCGAAGAAGCACAGAGAAAAAGAAAAAAAATATAAATTTAAAACTTAGCGATAAAATGATACAAATGAAACAATAGAAGAGAGCATAGGAACAAAACAAAAAATGGAAACTAATAAAAAAACAGCTGTTCTCATTTTAAAATTCATTTAAAAAACAGTCAGCTAGCTTCATAAGATTCGTTACCATTTCTTTAAAACATATTTTTGATTGATATGTATTTTATTTTTAGTTACGAACAAGTTACAATCTTAAAGATGATATAACAGAAATTTAGTTTTTCTAGTTAATAATTTTTTTATTTCGGTTTAAAATTTTAAAGACTTCAAAATGAATACATTTGATTGTTAGAGAAGTGGAAAATTGATGACAACAAACGTACGTGCAGGATCAATAAATTGGTAAGCTAACTTTCCCATTGGATATAGAACATACGTCATTCGTATGCCTTTTTTTTCTATTGTCTAATTAGCATAAACGAGATTTTCTCACAATATAATGCGTATAACTTTGACACATGCTGATAAATATATCTACCCTTTAGAAATAATATTTTTTTCTGAATTAATTAGAAGTGATAGAAAATGCTTCTATATAATACTGAAGAATTCTGTTTAATAATGATGTCCATAGCGAGTGAACTAAATTAAAACAAGTGCCATTTTCATTCCATTAACACATCTTCATAATATAATAATCTAAACTATGTATTATATAATACTACTTTCTAAACGGACATGCTTATGGTATGATAGAAAGTGGAAATATTTTTGCTCACGAATAGGTTGTGGACAAAAAAAATATGTAAATCATCAAGTTCATTAGAAAAAAAAAAAGTGTGACTTTTGAATGTGACTCATTGAATAATTTGATAAGAAAATTTTTTTATTTATCTGTTCTTCTTTTAAGAATTCCTTCTTTAAGAAAACATTTTTCAAATTCTGACTGATTATTAAAATGAAAATACCAACAGTAATGATAATAATGATGCGATAGTGTTGAAATATCATTATCATACGATTAAATCCTACGTTACAACCAACGCATCTTTATTTTATATGTCAAAATATATAACACTAACCGTAATGATCTTGCATACAAATACATGAAATAGAAATAGTAATTCAAGAATTAAACTGTTTTTTTTTGTTTAATATTCTAATAACTAAACAAAAAATGGTTACAAAAAGATCCAATTAACGGTAAGATGATCAAGAAAAAAAAAATAGAGAATATTTTAAAAATAGTGACATACATTATTTTCTTTTATTGAACTGTATTTATGTATGGATATTCCTAAAGAAATATTTTGTCATTTAAGACCCTATTCTTCTAGTTACATAATTTTTTTTTTTACAAACGTTTCTATTAATTCATTCATTGACTAGAAACGAAAGTAGTGCCTATAATACCATAATGTTTTTGTTTGAAAGTGGCTCTTTTTTTGTTTAAGTGCTTTCATTTAGTATATAACTGTCAACAACTTTCAAGTGACTCGTACATCTATCCAAAAAAACATCTGTTGTAAAGTGAAAATAGCGCATTTTAAAAATAAATTACTGATCTTTTTGTCATAGATTTACTGTAAATCTTATAAAAATCTGTAAATTGTCGACGAAAACAACAATATGAAGTAGTTTAAGTTGTGATTAAGTGCGTGTTATATGAAGTGATTCATACTGTTTTCATCATTGAACCGTAGAAAAATGTACAGACGACAATTATTTGTTCTCGACGAGTTCTACAATGATTTTTCACAGTGGATTTTTTGAAGATTATATCGCGATCGTTCTTTGTTCCATCTAAAATCTTTTTTTTTAATAGACAATTCGACAAGAGTAGATTAGTCAATGAAAGTATGTTCAGCGACGGATATCTCCTCAGGATTCAATTTTCGCTTTAAACAGGATATTTAGTATGTGTTTTATAATTAGAAATATCAATCACATAATATTTTTATTTTTCTATTTATAGGCCACATCAGTTCAAGTCAGTTTTGTCCAGTTGTCAAAAACCGTTAGTCTCCTGTACAAAAACTGGATCGGAACAAATGGATGTTTATATTCCATCACACTTCAGTTCGTCAGTTCGACCGTTAACATATATGAATGCACCAATTGCAGTTAGTAATAAAATTCGAGCAATTCGAGCAAGAAAAGACAGAAGTGTTGCTACTTATGTACGTTCAGAAATTCATCCATTGAACACTATTGAAAATAATTTGACAAATAATAATTATAATTCACAAATACTAAAAGAACGTTTAACAGCCGAAAAGCTGTTTGATAGAAAATTTAAATTAGATCGTGTAATACTGCAACAACAACCGACACGTTTATCAGTATTGTCATCAAATCCATCGTTACTATGGCCAAGCTATGGTACAGCTGTCACTTCACGTCCTAGACGATCTCAATCAAGTTCAACAACAACTATTACACCACCCATCGAATCTGCAACACCAATAAAATCAAATCAAATCGCTGTTATGCCGGATATTCTATTAAAACGTTCATTAAGTCGTCCACAAACAAAAGCCTCTTTAATTCAAATGAACGAAAAAAAAATTAATTTATCAGATGTCGAACAACCGTTTATTATAGTAAAAGAACAAGATAAAAAAATGTTTAAAAATCAATCATTAACTCACTTGAATAGAAATTTTAATAACATCAATAAAACAAATGCGATAAAACGAACAATAATAACGGCAAAACTAAAAACCCAATCACCAACTCCTAAACGTTTTCAGACAACACCGTATCGCACCATGCGAATTCCTGAAATTAATGATTGTGATAATAACAGTGAAAATAAAAATGACGAGGAAGAGATTGTTGATGAAGAATTTCAAAAATATTTACCACAAGCAATTGAAAAATGTGCTAATTGGCTGATACGATATGTGTTTGTGGATCAGGATGAAAACAAAAATGTTGATACGGATATATAACAATTGTATTGCCATATTTGAATTCCTTAAGAATTTTTTTTTCTCTTATTGTACAGAAAAACTATCTCAAAAAAGTCATGTTTTTACGTTATAATATATCTATTTATTCAATTATTTATCTTAAATATGACAGTAGAACGTTCATTTGCAACATTACCGTCGAACGGGTAGAGCAAAGAAAATTTTAATCTCAATATTTTCAGTTTGTCTCCTCTTCTTTATAATTAATTGAGCAAATTTTTTTTACGAAAAGATCGCTCGCTCAATTCTCTACAAAATGTTTATTTACTATTTGATTGCAAAAAATCCGAAGGTGGAAAATAAGATGAGTACAAAAATGGAGAAAAAATTAACCTATTTTCTGAGAGAGATAAATTTTCACAAGCATCAGAATGCGATTTGACTACACGTTTGTATAGTTTCAAGTATGCACTCTCACATGACATGCAACAAAATTTGTTTTGAGTGAAAATCTCCGACGCAAAAATTGATTTGATGGAAAACGGCCGAAAACAGCAAATGATCTGGACCATATCTACGCGTAATAATAAAGAAGTCTTTCGCAAATCCTACTGATCCGACAATATAGACTAATCCAGAAATGTGCACCGGTATCGTTTTCCTATCCGTAACCGGTACGAAAACTTTTTTTCCGCCCGTACCCGACCAAGAACTTTGTATCCGTATGCGACTTATGCCTAAAAATTTTCTCCTTTTCGGTTTCCAGCCAAAAATTTTGTTTTTCGAATGGAGATATCAACTTATCATTTTGTTCTCAAGCAACTCTTTTAAAACTTAATGTATTCTAGCTAAAATCTCGTATGTTTTCACTAAAAATTTTGCGGTTTTCCACTAAAACCTTTCAATCTTTGGGTAAAACGGAACCCGTAACCGTATCCAACCTTCGGGTTGCACATCTCTACTTCAGTTCTAACTGTAAAAAAATGTTAATCATAGGGGGACGATAGAATTTTCCAAGGTTTACACGATGGCTACTTCAGCTTTTCTTCCTCCCACGAACGTTTAGCGAGTAAAACTTAAAAGGCGGTTGATTAACTTCTTTTTTCTACATTTTTTTACTTCAGCGGATTTCTCATCTTATTTTCCATCTTCGGATTTTTTGCAATCAAATAGTAAATACATATTTTGTACAGAATTGAACGCCTTATCTTTTAGTAAAAAAATTTGTTCAATTAATTATAAGGAAGAGGAGATAAGCTGAAAATAGCGAGACTATAATTCTTTTTGCTTCACCCGTTACCAATATATTCATTTCACATGGTTTCATATACAAACAGAACAGCTGGAATCACATTTTTGATTGATGCCATTTACAAAAATTTAAAACTTATTTCTTTTAATTCTAACTAGAGCACAAAGTGCACGGCGGGTGATCTGCACTACTATTCATTTCAAAATATAGTGTGGGTGAACCGTTTTATTCCTTTTCATGGATTTGATAGACAAAAGCCATCAGGATTTATTATTATTCTTTTCGTGGATGCGATCCGTTAGCTGACACAAATACAACAAATATTTACGTACGAAAAATGGGTTGACCAACGAGATTTTTTATAACAGTATTGAGTGGAGCGCGTAGATATCATTTTTCCTGATGTACTGCATGAACTGTTAGGAGAAATGAAATTTTTAATAAGTGATATGGTACGATTTGATGCACTGTTGGCCAATCTTTTTCGTCATTTTCAGAAATGATAAGTCAGACTTTGTCTTAAAAACTAAATTTTTATTCAAATGTTTGTAAGATGAAAACTCGTTCGGCGCCGAAAAGATTGAATGAAACCAATTCGATTATTATGCTTTTTCCTAATATTAGTATGTTGAATCATTTTTCTCAAAAACCAAGCGAGATGAGCTAATGTTACTACTATCCATTTCAAAATATAGTGTGGATGATTGCGACATAATAACTCAAGAACGGAATGAGCTATCGTGTAACCAAGGCCGGGGCACGTAATAATATGCAGAAACCAAAATTTTGTGTGAATCTCGGGTGAATTTCAAAGTGGATCTCTGGAAAACCAGCTTATCGCTTCAAAGTTTTACATAGAAATCTATCAGGTTTTTTCGTATACGGATGGTCCAAGATGTCCGCTACAAAACCAGTTCCAAGTGACATCTCGAGAATTCAGAATATCAAGGTGCACTCTATTTTACCTGCTCAATAATATGCAGTTCAATAGAACTTTTGAAAATCAACCGAAAATACTATTGTTTTTGAAAGGATTTTCTAGAAATCTTCCGAGGTACACGAATGTTTTTTACTATTCTTAAGTAAAAAATCGTCTGGAAGAGGTAAAATAGAGTGCATCTTGATATTCTGGCATAACTTGGATTGAGCTTGACTGAGTTATGACTTTTTGAATTTTACTTAAAAATAGGTTAAAATGGGATATTTCACCTAATGTACGTTTTCACTGGATTTTTGGAACTCTATTGAAAAACAAATGTTGCCATGAGATTGAGCATAGTCAGTAACCTATGTTTTCATTGGTTTTTGACAGTCCCAAACCTAACGGCAGAGGAACGCTAAGGCTTCAGGAAAAACGCCCGTAACTCCCGAACCATGAATTTTCGAGATGTCACTTGG